GGGGGGGGGGGGCGTGTTGCAGGGTCCAGTCCTGCAGCTGTGCCCTGAGAACCACACCATCAGAGGCAAGACAAGCAGTGGAATGCTCTATTTCTGAATAATGGCAAGGCTTGGATGAGAAATAGGTACCTATGTGTTTAATATTATCAGGATGTAGGCAGTTCTGAGAATGCCCTGAAATAGGCCTTGAGGTACTTATTAAATTTTGCTGCCAAAATCGGCAGCGTTAAGGGAATTTAGATGCCTCCAGGGTTATATGACAGATAAAGAGGGCCTCTAAAGATCTACATTTTGTCTCCAGTGTCTACAGTAAGAGCTGGGTGGCACTGAAGTGCCTAATTCCTTTTGTGGATTCAGCCTTGAATGGTTTTGAACTGGGTCACAAAAATCACAGGACCCCACAATACTAAGTTGTGCATGATCACCTACTTTTGGTCCCTGAGAGAATGCAGGGGACTAGTTACTACATTGTGCTACTTTTCTCACTGTCTGAAATAAACAGGGATCTTGAAGAATGTATTTCCGAGTTTCTTTGCAAGGGGGACAGGCATGCTGGTGGTCCAGGAGACAGGTGAGCAACAAAAAGATGAGACTGTGCTAATGGGCATTTACCTTTCCTGTCTATGTATCCATCTTTCATTCAAAATAGAGTTGCTTATGATGGTTATGATAGCATTAAGACCCTAGTCTTAGCTAGCTAAATCAAACATCTTTGAACCTGGTTTTACATCCTTGCTTTAAGTACTAGATCCCCCATTTTTGTAAAATTACATAAGTCAACTGAAGGAAATATAGTTGTGCTGATTTACAGCAAGGAAAGATATATGGCCAATATTGTCAAAATGTGGCAAAGTATGAGCCTATTAACAATAAATGTGCAGCAGCACAGAAACTGCTTGGAGTGAAACACAGGAAGAATTATGTGCTGAACTCTGAATGTGTTTGCTGTCATAAGACAGCCTCAATGTGACAACTTTTACAAACCAAAGTCCTTTTAGTTACCGACATAATGCTCAGGTGTTCAGTCATTTCTGAACAGGCATATCTAATTTTATTTTGGTTTCCTGATCAACATCATACCCAAACAGCCATCTCTCCAACTAGTTTTTCCTCAACTCCCATCAAATTTCCTTTTCTGAAGTCCCAGAGACATTCCATTTACTGCACTGCAGCAGTTTAAAAAAGAGAAAAATACCCACTGTTATATTAAAGTTGGCCTGGAGTGTGATGAGGTAATCACACAAAGTCTAATCCTGACCAAACCAGCACATGAATGTGAATGTTCAAGGCATTTACTAAATACAATTTTTTTTAGAATATACTGTGGGGTAAAAATGGGAGACGTCTCACTTCTTCTCAGACAGATAATGCATTTAAAAGCGATGGATTATTGTATTCAAATACATACACTTGGCTTTAGCTCCAGGGTAGTCATCCTTCTTACTCTTCTAATATCAATATCTATGCTACAAAATACTAGACACTTTGTTTCAATACCAATAGTTGCTTATTGATTCATTCGTATAGTTCAAATTCTATATGCTGACATTTAAATATTGTTATCATGCCTTGGGAGGTTTTTCTAATGGAAACACATTATCTACTGGAAAATGGTCCTGTAGATTCTTCTTTTAAGTAGTATAAATAAGAGTTTTATGTCCACTTATTAGGCTGCAGTTAATTTGGATGCCTATAACTATCACTTTTCCTTTTATGAAACCTTTCATTATGCACCTTCCCCCAAGCAGACAAAGCCCATTTATCCTTCGTACCTGTGTGTTTTATAAAACGGGCACCTCTTCAGGGGTATCTTTACCACATGTCCCTGAAGGCCCACAAACAGAACACTCTGGCTATGCAGAATCTGCAGGCTCCTGATGGATTCCCTCTGCCTCTTCGGGAAGAGCTCAATTTCCTCAAGCAAGCAGCTGGTTGAAGTCTGATTCATTGGGGCGAGAACTTTCTTAATTGTGCCATAGTCTGTAAAGGCAAAGAGGGAGATTTACTTATTGGCACTCATGCAGGCAATACTCCCAATTCAATAACCTTCAATAATCACCCTGTTGTAAGAGGCCTTATAATCTGTAGCGTTCAAGTGTGGTTTCCTGTTAGGGTACAAGGCTTACTATATGAACAAATGAAAAATGAATAATAGCTTCAATTGTTTTATAAACACAAACAGCTTACAGACATAAGACAAACGTTTGAATAGTGGACACTTGGAAGATGGGCAATCACAGCTCATCTATTGTGAACAGACATCAAAAAATGCATCTCTCAAAATGTACAGGCATTCCCACGATTTCTAATTCATGAGATTAAGGTACAGTTAACACCATTTAAGAAATCTATACATTTAATGAAGTCTATTGCTGCCTCTGTTTTACAACTAAAGTGTATGAACAAATAGGGCACTTCATGTTACAGAAGGCAATATTACTTTCTTAAAATACAATGGACAAGGGTGAGGGTGTATGGGGAGGGCTGGGTGTGTTTGTTCAGTATTGGTATAACAAAACAATAACAATCCATTGCTTCACCCACATCTAATCATGACACATGGAAAGTGATCACCTTTCTTCTAGGGCTGAGAAATACACTGTTTCAACTTTTCATTTTGCCGTGTTTTGGTCAATTCAAAGCAAGGAGTGTTAATCACATTCAACCAATGTCAATCGCAGTTGTTGATGACATTCTTGAATGGCCTCTCAGGGTATGTCCAGATGTGCATGGATGTTTGGTTCCCCAGGGACAAGAAGCAGTGGCGCACCTTGTGCTGCCGCTACTTGTCCCCAGGGAACGCTCATGCGCTTTGGCATGAGGCAAGTTGCCTTGGGTGGGTAGGGGAGGCTGGAGACAGCACTGGGCTGGCCCCAGAAGCCTTATCTGGGGTCCTGGGGGCTTCCCAAGGCTGCAGCCATGGCGATTCTGCCACACAGAGCCTGGCTGGCAGCGGAGCAGGGCTCCAGGCAGCCTGGCTCCACTTTTCAGCAGCACGTGCTGGCCAAGCATGCGTTGCTCCAGGGGTTTTATTCTGCAGTTTTTGTTTTTAACTCTTGTTTAGCCAGGGGTCAAAAAGCACCACAAAAAAACCCCCAGTGCAGCGCACACACAGGCAGTGTGCTCTTACATTACGGAGAACTCCTGACTGCAGTATGCGGCAAACTGACCAAACTCACAGTTGCATTGATGTGTACGTGTGTTTATGTGTGTAAAGTGAAGCAGGACTTAGCCCACAAGGCTTGCAAATCGTTATGTACATGTATATTTGTTATTCATGCAAGTAATCCATGATGAACAAGCAACCTGTGGGAGTGAGGACTGCTCATAAGACAAAGATCCACATGGTCAAACTCACAAGCATTGACTATATTTTGCTTAGGTTCATATTACAGTTGCATTTTAGAGATAATTAAATCACATCATGTCATACTCCATTTTTCAGTTATGTTCCATGGCCTGGGTAATAAATTTAGGAATGAATATTACTGATAATCCATTTAAAATAGTTTCATTTCTAGAAAACCATTGCTACTACCTTCTTCTTTCTTTCCCATATGTGTATGTGATTCTCCTAGAATTCCTGTCTCTTCCACAGTTTCACTCCCAACCCCTTTCCCATTCTGCCTGTTAAAATGATCAGTGATTAGAGATTTAATACTCAGGTGTTATAAATGGTACTTCATGCTCATGATACTCCAGGGAGGAGCGGATAGGGTGCATCTCAGTCATTTTTTTATGGAGCCTGAAGGTTCAGGAAGAAAACATAGAATCATCTCATGTTTGGCTCACCTTTAGAAACTTTTGTTCACAGCTCTGAAAAATACGCAATTTCTTGTTTCTTTTAAATGAAAACAGATTCTGGAAAATCTGATTTTTTCCTATAAGCAACATTAATACATGAAGAACCACATCCTATTTCACCTTAACCATCTAAATGACAATTTTTTCAGCTGGCAAAAGTGGCATTATTGGCACTTACAAATAGTTTGCAATTCTATTACCCATGCAATATAGACACATAAGCGTCCATGTATGCCAGGTGCGTGTAAGTCCTAAAACTCTACCTGGCAAAAAGCCATGATTAGTGGGTATTACAAACTGAAGGAGAAAAAGGGTTGTGTGAAGCTTCAGTAGATGATTTGATGCAGAGGAATTTTGGCCCGATTCAGGGACTGAATCTCCAAAGCCAAATCGAATCGGGAGACCAAGTAAAAGTTTCAAATTGATTTGAAGCATCTGAATCAATTCGGAAAAGCTTCAAAAAGGATTCGGCCGCTTCAGAGATTAGGCCATAGACTAAACAGGTGGCTGACATAGCTGCCTCCAGTTGGTAAGTTTGTTGAGCCTAGGGGAGGGGGAAGGGAAAGGATATGGGGGAGGGAGGAATTGGGACTGGGACAAGCTGCTGAGCCGGGGCAGGGGGTTGCATTACTCGGCAAGGGGGGGGCAGGGGAGGGGGCAGGATGCAGGCACGGCAGTGCTGGAAGCCATGGGAGTACCTGCAGCCACCTGGACATGCCTGCCTTTCCCCGGCTGATTCAAATCACCAAATCTCTCCAAATTTGCCAAATCTTCTGAAGCCAATTTGGCTGAATCGATTTAGGACAGTGATCTGAATCTCCAAAGTGAATCACTGTAATCCGAATCAAATACTTCCCTATTCACACAGGCCTAAGAAGAAGCTTCCTCCCTGTTTTAAATCCAACAGCTGAATACTTAGAGAGTTGCA